GGCAGATGAGCTCGCTGGGATTTGCCAGGCTGTTCAGGAGGGTTAAGAACATAAAAGACTGTTCTGACTGTCCTCTGGTGACTTCTTTTGGGAAGCAGGAGTTGCATTTTCCCAACACGTGGTGCTCCTCCTCTGGACGTGCTACAGAAACACAGATCACTGGGAGCTGGGAAAGACACCATCATTCCTCACTGATTTTACTGAATGAACCTCTGACCCTCTTCCTCTCCTTTTAACCTCTTGGATTGAATATTTTCTTCACAGAACAAGGAAAAGTTGGAAAAATTGAAGGGCCAGGCAGAGCAGTTTTGCCAAAGACTGGGGAAGTACCGGATGCCTTTTGCCTGGACAGCCATTCACCTCATGAACATTGTGAGCAGTGCTGGCAGCTTGGAAAGAGACTCCACAGAAGTTGAAGTTGGCACAGGAGGTACAGGACTTGGCATCTGCAGGAGGGAATGTGGGCAAATCCAGAGGTTTGGATTCATATCCTGTAGCTGCTGTTGCTCCTTTTAATGCTTTCCTCCCCCTACCCTGATGGTCTGGGGTCATGGTTGAACTAAACCAGAAAAGTCCATGATAACAAATGGATTTATCTTTCAAGGATTTTACTAGCAAACCATCTGTTATATTATTTAAAACCAGGCTTGTGAGACTGAGGGAGCATTACAGGCTGATGAACATTTTCCAAAGGAGTGGATTAATCTTTGTGAGCCACATAGCTCATCCGAAACTGCTCTTCAGCATCCCCAAAACTGCCAACTTCATCATCTTTCAGAGCAAGGGAAATACATAAATCTCAGCATGATAAAGACTTTTATAACAGCAGGAAGGCACTGGGCTGAGGTGGCTGGCAGGGGAGCAGGAGTCTGTGCTCCACAATGCTTCGAGTGGGATTGCCTGAGCATCACCCCCTCTTCTGTCACCTCATGGCATCATTCCCTCTCCTCCTCTAAGGGAAGGAGTTCTTCCTTCCCCAGGAATCCTGCTTGGAGCCAAAGCAGGCTCTTGGACTGTAGTTTTTCCTGCTTTATTTTTAATTCCTTCTCCCTGTTGTGTCTTGCAGAACGTAAGGGGTCGTGGTCGGAGCGGCGGAATTCCAGCATCGTCGGGAGGCGTTCCCTGGAGAGGACCACGAGTGGGGACGAGGCCTGCAACCTGAGCAGCTTCAGGCCAGCCACCCTGACAGTGACCAACTTCTTCAAACAGGTCTGGCAGGGCTGTGGCTCACCTAGGAGTTACTTCTTGGACAGAAGGATTGGATGGTGTGAGGTCACTGGGTGATTAATTTGAGATTAATTTGATTTCTGCTCCCCAGTCGCAGGGAGACTTTGAGCAGCATTCAGTTTATGTTGTTTATCAATTATCATGGAATAACAGACTGATTTGGGTTGGAAGGGAGATTAAAGCCCATCCAGTGCCACCCCTGCCATGGGACACCTCCCACTGTCCCAGGCTGCTCCAGCCTGGCCTTGGGCACTGCCAGGGATCCAGGGGCAGCCACAGCTGCTCTGGGCCCCAGTGCCAGGGCCTCAGCACACTCCCAGGGAACAATTTCTCCTTAATACCAAATCTAAACCTCCTCTGAGTTACATATTACATAACATTTATACAGTATGTTAATTCTGGTAGAGGTGAATTCAATTCCTCAGAGTGATTTAAGGTTGACATCAGTTCCCTGGACACATCCAGGGATCCCTGAGGAGAACAAAGCATTCTGCTTGTGGTGCTGCTTTGCTGAGTGGCATCTCCTCTTAGCCAGAGCTTGGGATTTTCCTGAGCAGTGGAAAACACAAATAAAGGGAACAAATTTTTTAGTTAAGCTTAGCAAAAAGTAATGAGCTGAAAATTTTCTAAGATTTGCTTAATGTCACATCTAGTTAAGGAAAAACTGATCACTAAGTTAGTAATGATTTACAAAAGCACGTACTTATTTACTTTGTTTAGGTTATTTTTACTTTGAAGCAGCTAATTTTATTTAATTTGTTCTTTAAAAACTGCCAAACATTAACTTAAGATTTCAAATTTCAGATTCTTTATTATATTCCTTTTCTCCTGTTCAGTTTAATTAGTTGAACACTACCCAGTGTTTTTCTCCTTCCATTTGCTTATTTTTTTTTTCTTCTTTATGTTGTAAAGGTAAAAGATACCTTTAAAGTCAGTATCTTTTATGATTTCTAACTTTTAAAATCGGGTATCTTCTGCTTTTGGGTGGCAGAGTCCCATTTTCTGTAACATTTCCAAAATTGGCAAAACTCTGAGCTGCTAGAATAGGCATGAAGAAGACTGACAACACACTCCTTGCACTTCCTACTTTTCCTGGAAAATAAGGCTGTTCTGGGCTCATCCCAAAGAAGGGCAGAGGAGAAGGAATGGGGATCACCTCCTGAATGACAGATACTTTTTCAAACTATTACACTTGCTAAAAAATGGGTATTTTTGGGAAATCTTTTAGCAGCCATTTCCAGTTTGGAAAAAGATAATATTGATGGGGAGAGAAAAGGCTTTCAATTAAAAGTTCCTGCAGCTGTCAGGGTGATTAATAAGGGATGAAGGCAGGGGAAAGGATGGAGAAGTGAAGTGTAATTTAACACGTTAATGGTAGTAACACCTTGTTCTGGGAAGGGACAGTTGGATGCCAGAGGGAAGAGCCTGTGGAGTGAGAGGCTTTGTTCACCCTGGCAGCCCTGGAGGGGAGTTTGGGTAACCAAATCTTGCACCCTGAGCAGGAGGGGGATCGCCTGAGCGATGAGGACCTGTACAAGTTCCTGGCTGACATGAGGCGTCCCTCGTCGGTGCTGCGCAGGCTCAGACCCATCACAGGTATCCAGCTGTCACTGTCTCTGCTTTCTGCTGAGGGAATGGCACCACCATGGGGCTGAGAACCATTTATTGCCCACATCAGTCTCACAGGCTGTGAGATTTTAAAGGGGCAAGCTGTTGGCTGTAGCTCAAAGTAGTCACAAGTTCTTTGTTACAAGGCAATAAATAACTTTCTAATGCAATGGCCACGAGGTGTATTTTGCTTTTCTAACCTATCACCTTTACTCACTTCTACTGCATTGAAGTACTTCTACTTTTACCCAATGGGCTACTATCTGTACACACAGATGCTTCTATTATAAATTCTCAACTCTTTGCTTTCTCTGTACAACCACACCCCTGCCTTATAAACCATTCACCATCTTATCAATACAGTTTCTTACTTAAGGCATATTCTTTCTTACAACTGTAGAAACATAAGTCCATGAAATTTCCATTTAATGTCTGTTTGTTGGAGCTTCACATCAATCCAAGCTTCTCCCAAGGCTGCAAGGACACAGTCTCAAGCTGTGTTAAGGGAAATATAGGCTGGATATGAGGAAAAAGTTTTTTACAGGAAGGGTGATACAGTTCTGGAATGCTCTGCCCAGGGAGGTGGTGGAGTCACCATCCCTGGATGTGTTTAAAAACAGACTGGATGTGGCACTGGGTGCCATGGTTTAGCACAGTTATGCTTTTAAAAATTAATTTCTACTTATTAATGAGTAAAACCCCTTTCTTCTTGCAGCTCAGTTGAAGATAGACATATCTCCAGCTCCAGAGAATCCCCACTACTGCCTAACCCCAGAGCTGCTGCAGGTCAAGCTTTACCCAGACAGCAGAGTCAGACCTACAAGAGAAATCCTGGAGTTCCCTGCCAGGGATGTCTACGTTCCAAACACCACATACAGGTCAGAGTTTGGAAATCCATTTCACCTTCCAGGGCCTGAGACTGGCAAGTGTAGAAATTCCTCCCTTATCAGCAGACTTGTTGCAAAATTTGGTTGATGGGCAGAGGTGCTGTGCCAGAGGCATGGGAAGGGCTCAGGCTGACACAGCAGGGAAGGCTCAGCTGGGGAGGGACAAACAGGTTTGCATCAAACTTGGCTGTGAATAAGAACACAGGAGAGGTTTCTCCATTTGGTTAAATTCTTTTCAGTTTTAGCTTTTCAGTTTAGGGTTTTTTTCCTTTGCTAAAGTCACCATTCTCCTACTGGTTTTATTAATTTATGTCACTTTCACTGACTTTTTTTTCTTTAAAGTGAGGATTAGAAATATAGAAAACTCATAATCCCTTTGTTCATATTTCCATTTTGGTTTCCAAGCAATTTCTTTGTTTACAATACCTGGCAAAAAAAATCCTCTGAAGCCCTGAAAGTTAGGAAATTTTTCTAAATATCTTGGGAAACAATAATCTTTCTATAACACAATCCAGGCTGGGACCAGATTTCTTTACATTATGTACCATTATTAATTTAAAGCTTTTTTGTAGTATCTTTGAAGACATTACATGGCTGGGTGGAATTGTCTTCATCAGCTGAGTAATTTCACCAACTTAGCAAATCCTTTATTTAAATTTAGATACAAACCAGGTTTTTATAAATCAAAGCTTGCAAGACGGGTTTAGTCGAGTTCCATATCCTGTATTTTGAAAAGTCTCAGCCATTTATTTGTTTGTCTATTTATTTATTGGACAGGTAATTTAACATTACAGTAAACCAGTACAAATAAGCAACACTGCATGATCTCATCTCTGTTACAAACCCATGAGAAGGAAAAGGATTTTTTTTTGCAGCATTTCTGTAGTTAACACATTCTTTTCATGGGGTTTCACTCTGACAAATGACAACCAAAACCATTTCCTGTGCTGAGATAAAAAACCCACACTGTACAAGGGTTGGGGAAGATAAACAAGTCAATATGACTCAGGGGAGCTGCAGGACTGGGGGTTTTGTCAGTCAGCACTTCCAGGGCCAGCCCAAGGCTGTCACTCCGTGTTCTGCAGCTGAAGTTCAACATGTGAGTGTCCCCAGGAGCTGGACCAGCCCTGTCCCGTGGGTTGTGCCTACCGGGTTTGTGGGTTGGCACCCTTGACCCCATTGGAGCAGCTGTTCCCTAAGTGAAAGGTGTTGTGGTGTGTGCTCACTTGGTTGTTTATTTAATTCCTTGGTTGGACTGAAAGGTCACAAAGGCTTGGCTCTGATTCATTTCAGGTGAGGAGAGCAGATCTCTTGCTCCTTTCAGTGAAGTTTGGCTCTTCACTTCCAGTGAGCAGCCCAGCTGTGCAGTTGCCCTGTGGGATCTGTGGGATCCAGAGGAGCAGGATCTGCTCTGCCCCCTGTGTGTGACACACCTGCACAGAGCTCCAGAGAGCATGGATTGGCCTTAGCTACACTCCTGGAGCATTGTCTGGAAATACCCAGAGCCCTAAAATGAGGAATTACCCATCTTTCATTTGCTCCTAAAACATTCCACAACAAAAACATGAACCAAACATTCAATTAGTGACTTCAAGAAACAAAATTTCTTTTTGTTCCCCCTAAATGTTTTCCTTAGGGTTTTGCCAGCCCTTTGTTCCCAGAAAACACTTTTTGTTTTCCCTACTACACAACCCAGAAAGGAATGCACAGCCTGAAAACCCATTCCCCCAAACAATATTATCCAATATGTGACAGGCTGGCTTCTAGGCATTAGAATTGCACTGTGGGGAAGGAAAAGCTCCACAAAAAGTTGCAGCACATTGACATTGGGGCTTGAGGGAATGACAATACTCACCAAACATTTTGTAAGACCATCTCAGATGCCTCTGGTTTATGTTTTGGAGAAATTCCATGCAGGGCATGGATTGGGACATGGCATCTGTTGGTAAACACAGCATCAAGTCCTTTGGTGTGGTGAAGTTCCTTGTGTTTGTTCTGAGTTAAAATGCAGCAGGTTGAGCACTCAGTCAAAGCTTTTTAAGTCTGTTGGGTGGATCATTATTTTGGTTGACTTGAGCAGGTAGTATCTTCCTTTCTTAGGCTTCCAGTACAAACCTTTTCCTCTGTCCAGCCTTCCCCTGGACCTTGGCGTGACGTATTTCCCGTTCAGGTTGGTTTCCTCACACTCACTGTGCCACCAGCCTCCTGAGGAGAAACGTGGCCCTGTCAGTCTGTGGCAGAGTAAACAGCTCCTCCTTGCAACACAGATCTGCTTTAGGCCCTAAATTCCAGCTAAACTGGCATCTACCCAGGATTCCCAAATCACTGAATTGTTTGGGTTGGGAAAGTCCTCTAAAGTCACTGAGTGCAGCCATTCCCCAGCACTGCCAAGGCCACCACTGACCCATGTCCCCAAATGCCACACCTGCCTGGATTTTAAATCCCTCTAGGGGTGGGGACTCCACCACCCTGGGCAGCTGTGCCAGGGCTGGAGAACCCTTTCCATGAAGAAACTTTCCCTCTAATCAATTTAAGTCTCCTCTGGTGTAACTTGAGGCCGTTCCCTCTCCTCCTGTCCCTGTTCCCTGGAGCACAGCCTGATCCCCCCGGCTGTCCCCTCCTGGCAGGAGCTGTGCAGAGCCACAAGGGCCCCCTGAGCCTCCTGTGCTCCAGGCTGAGCCCCTTCCCAGCTCCCTCAGCTGCTCCAGACCCTTCCCCAGCCCCATTCCCTTCCCTGGACACGCTCCAGCCCCTAAATGACCTTGGCCTGAGGGGCCCTTCCCTGGACATGAGATGCCCCTCTTGGCATTCTTTCAGGCATCCACAATTTTCAAGATTGTGTCAGTGGTGCTGGAGAAAGAGCCCAGCCCCACCTGAGCACAGGCACCTTTCAGGAGCTGTGCAGAGTGATAAGGATAAGGTCACCCCTGAGTCTCCTTTTCTCCAGGAGCACCCCAGGATGAGCTTTAAGCTCCCAGCCCAGCCCTCCGTGGTGCAGTGCTGGGGGAGCAGAGCAGCTGCCGTGCCCTGGGGCCGTACCTGGGTGGCTCTGGGGACAGCTGGAGCTGCTGGCCGTGTCCCCGGTGGAGAAGCGCAGCTGGGCGTGCTCGGGCAGCGCGTTGGGAATGCTCCCCGACATCCTGGACAGCTGCAGGGTGAAGTTGGTGCTGGGGCCCCCCAGGCTGAAGCTGTACTCGATGTGCCTCCTGTTCCCTCTCCAGTCCTGCAGCTCGATCCGCAGCAGGTAATTCCCCTGCTGGGTGATGGAGTAGATCTTCTTCAGGCCCAGCCAGAATTCCTCTGCAAAGGTGGAGGGAAGAGATGGTTTTAGGGATAACCTGCAGGTAGTGTGTGTGAAAATACAGTATTAAAAAGGCTTTATTAATTGCTTTAATTAAATCAGTGATTTGAGTCTTGGGGACTGTTGATCTTTGCAGAGGTCTGCTGCTACATTCTTTTTGTTTACCTCTGCTTAATTGCACACTGATGATCAATAAAAGCAAGAGTTCTAAATGAACTGGAGCTTCCCCCTTTAAGTTTCCCATCTCATGTGGAACTCTGAGAGGGAGCTGGAGACATTTAAGAGGTGTGTAATTGGAATGTGTGACAAATGAAGCCAGTGACATACATAAAACCTAATGGCAATTGTTGCATTTTGGGAGGAAAGAGCTGCAGAACCAAACTGGGGTTTCAGCACCCTCCTGTACAAAGGAAATTTTTCTTTTGCTGGAATCTCTGATCATTAGTTTAATTGGTTTAATATATTATATTCATTAAGTAGCTTATTATCAGTGCAGGTAATTGCCACATGTACAAAGTGGGGCTGAATGTGAGTGCCAGGCACACAGCTGGCATTTGAAGCCATAGAGCACAAGATGCTTGAAGAAAATACTCCCTAATTTCCAGGTTAGGAGCTGTAACCTGGTTTATTTTATCACCTCAGAAGGTGCAGCAGAGCACTGAGTAGGACACAGCTAAGAGCAGTGAAATTCTCTGTGAGACCCAACTCTGCAAACATTTGGCTGCATCTTGGTGCAGTATTTGGGAATTGGGAGACCAGTCAAGGAGCCACTAAAGCATCCAACAGGATCAGATAAACTTTACAGCTGGAAGTCTACCTCAGCTGGGAGCTCCTGTCCCAAAGCTGAGGGAAAGGTTGAGATTCAGCAGCTCTTTATTATAAAAGATGTGGAAATACGTCAATATTGCTGCTCACCTTGCCAAGGTTTAGATCTATGCTATGCTTAGAAAGTCAGACTGTTTCCCAAACAAGAGGTCACTCATCTCATACGAGAAAAACAAGGAGAAGATTCTGGATGAGGAGGCTGTTGGGCAGCACTTGGTGCTACAAATTCTTTGGAGTTGATGATTAACAGGGGAATGTGGGTGTTTCCTCACCCTATCCAGCCATGGAGGGGATTGGCCACTCTGGAGAAGCCTGAGGTGTTTGCTCTGGGGAGCACACACAGCCTTGGGCTCTCCTGAGGCTGGAAAAATTGAAGTGGTTTTAAGGGTAGCAGGATTGGAGGAAGGCTCAGAGAAAGTAGTGACAGCAACTTCGTGAGGGTCTGCCTTTGTGTATATTTGAAATGCTTTGGGAAGTGCTTTTATAAGTAGTAAAATCTTGATGAAATAGTGTTTAAAGCATTCTGGCCTTGACTCAGTTTCTAAACACAGATTTGAAGGGATGTCTTTGAGAATTTCACGAGTTATGTGTTCTAGTAAGCACTTCCTGCTATTTCCAATAAATCAGTCAGCTGCTATTTGCAGGTTAGTCTGCTTTCCTTTCCATAAGAAGATTAAGCTTCTCAAATCAATTGATACACACAAAAAAAAGGAATATTTACCATTGAGGTCACCAAAACCATTTGTGTAGGCATCCCAAGTTTGGTTGAAATCCAGCGATCCATCCACTCTCTTCTGGATAACAGTCCAGGATGTGCCTGTGAAAAGGGGAAATAAGTCACAGCTTGGCCTTGGCCTCATTCCCTGTCCTTGAGTGTGCTCTGGGCTGCTCCCATTTTGGGGTAGAATGAGTTAATTGAGGTCTTCATGAAGAGAATACAAATGAGCCCAGCTGGAGAGAGCCCAGGACCCTTCAAGTGTCCGCACAAGGGTGGCTCCTCTCACAGAATTATTCTGTTAGGCTGCCTTAACTGGGTTTCACTTGTTTATGAGGGCTGAGAGACAGAGAAATTGATAAAGAAGAGATAAGAAGAGCCCCAGGCATTGGCTCAGAGGGTCAGACTGCTGATAGTGGCTGGCTGCTGGCACAGCTCCGGGGCAGGGCCGAGGTGCTGGGGCTGTGTCCAGGCTGCAGCTCCAGGGGGGTCTTCCCCGAGCCCAGGTCATGACACCCTCACTTCAGCTGCTCCAGCAAATGTCAGCAAAGGAGCTTTTTGCAGAGGGCAGCCCTGTGAGTTGTGTTTGCACATCCAAACACGTGAGGTGGCCCCACATGTTCCCCAGCTCTCTGAGGGCATGGGAAGGGATGTGGGGCAGGCACAGAGCAGCTCTGGGGGGTGCAGAGGAGCCAGGGAATGAGGGAGCTGGCCAAGCTGTGGGTGATTTGGTGACAAAAAGCATAAATTTGGATTCCTTAGGAAGGTGACATAACATTTGTATTCCTGGCTGCTGAGCCACCCAAATGTGGCCCAGGAATCCTGTCCCAGGACTCACTTCTCTGGGTGTTTGGCACAGCTCAGTCTAAAGCACAGCCTGTTAATGAACAAAACTTTACTTTTGTAAGAGCAAATTGTTTGCTTTTCTTTGGGAAATGCATTCGTGGTTGCCCTGTAATGGGTTTTATAATGACCATTTTCGTTGCCTAGCTAAAGGGGTTTGGGATTTGGATATCCTTAATTTATGTCACATGACTGTCCTTTCCTCAGTATAAACAAGAGAGCAGTAAAGAATGAGAGTAGTGATAAGAGATTTCAGGATATGGGAAACCTGATTTAGAGCAGACAGGCCACTAAGAGAAGTCAACAGGATACATAAATCATAAGTTTTTGTGTGCTTTGGGAGAAGACAAAGATTTGACTTAGAGGAAGATATTTCTGTGAAAATTAGACTGTTGCTGGCACAGCTCTTACCAAATTTCATTTCACAGTAGACATTGAAAGCTTCTGAGCCATTGGGCTGAATAGTGTAGACCCCACTGGCCTGCACGCCGCTGTGGTAGAGGGCAGTGCAGTCAGCAGCAGCACCTGGGGAGCAAACAGGGTGTTAGAAATCCTGCTAGGGGTGTGCTGAGCTGAGAGCTAGAGACAAAAATGGGAATGAATGTACTGGTAATTCTGTTTTACAATAAACATCATGGCACGGGCTGACTGCTTTGGGCATAATAGTGCAGCTGCCAAGGTGTGCATAGGTTGTGTTTTTGAAGTTTGGAAGATTTTGGAAAGTTTCTAAGGCCTAAAACTAGACTCTGGGAAATGGGCTTTCCTACCCCTTGTAAAGTTCCTAATAAATACCATGCTCACTGCTACACTTCATCAGTGCTTTCAACTTCAAAGAAAGGACTCCTAAATCTTATAATTAGCCAGTGTGAAGGAAATGAATTCTCTGTTCAGGCTCTACAAGATAGAAAGCATAGTCACAGCATGTTTACAAGAAGGGAATGGGTGCTGTTACTGCATTTTTGGACATTGTTCCTGTGTGGGACTCCTAAATCTTATAATTAGCCAGTGTGAAGAAAATGAGTTCTCTGTTCAGGCTCCACAAGATAGACATGGGTGAAAGCATGGTCACAGCATGTTTACAAGAGGGGAATGGATGCTGTTACTGCATTTTTGGACATTGTTCCTGTGTGCCACCCGAGGGACAAGTACAGCAGGAGTGGGGCTAGATAGATAAAGACATTTTTTCCAAAGAAGGAAATCTAATTCCTTCCCACAGCCCAGTGTATAACATAAAAAAATTCTCCTTTTAAACCTTCTCCTCAAACCAATCCAGGGCTGTCCCAGGGGGTGGTGGGAAGGCAGCACATGCTGTAGTCACATCTCAGAGATGGGGTCTCACCATCAGCTCTGTATGTCCCAGCCGTGGGCCTGTGCACAGCAGAGGGGATGGGCTCTGCTTCCTGCTGCTCCCCCAGGAAGGAATTCTCCAGGAGCTCCAGGAACTCGATGTGGTTTAGCTGCAAGAGCCATAATTACACTGTTAACTTCCCAAGGCTCTGGAATGATGAGGTTCATGGATCAAGACAATGTCATGCAGAGAATAATTTTTCTTGAGAGTGTAGCCCTGTGGAATACCCAATTTACCACATAAAAATAACTGCAGCTCCACGCTGGTGGATTTTAGGTGTGGGAATGCCAGCTGTGCCACTGCTCTGACAGGGTAGGGCTCATGAGGGGGGAAATGACCCCTTCTCTTGTGGTGCACCTTAATGGGCAAACAGATTTAACTTGTTTAATAATAATTTTTAATGGGCAAACAGATTAGCTTATTTCCTCAGGTGACATCACTTAGACAAATAATACCAACAGCTGAGGAGGACAGAAACCACATTGAAATGCATTTTCCTCTCAGAATAAATTAAACCTGATCATGCTGGTTGTGCTGTATTACAGTGATACATGTTGGTCTTCCACTCTGGGAGTGGGTTTTGGAAATTAAGAAAGAGGTAGAGAGCATTGAGACTTCCAGACCAAGGGAAGAGCAATAATGTGATAGATAATAAGAGGAAAAAAACCCCAAATGAACAGTCAGAAATCCAGCAGCCTGGTGTTGAGAGACTAGGTCTCAAAGCTGTTGTTGGCCACAGCTCCTGCCTGGCAGCACTGCAGCCTCTCCCAAAACCTCAGAATGGTCCCCACCTTCCTCTGCACCCCAAACTCAACAAGGGGAGCCTTCCCCAAGTGTGGGACCCTCAGCTCCCTCAGTGTCAGGAGAGATGGAAGGAGAAGCAGGGGTGGTTCCTGTACCTTGTCCTCCAGCTCCGTGATCTGGTTGTGCTGCCTGTCCAGCTGCACGTGCTGGTCCTCCACGATTCTCAGCAGCTGCTTGATGTCATTGTCCTGCTGCTCCACAAAAGCCTGGGGACAGGGAGGGGAGGATGGAGGAGGATTAGGAGCAGCAGAAGACCTTCAGCAGTAGTGCTGCCTCTGTAACTCTTGTCCTGGGGCCAGTTTTGAGAGGCACAAACCGCTGAACGTTCCCTTCCTTTTCCAGAGAATCCTAGAATATCCCTAGCTGGAAGGGGCCCACAAGGATCATCAAAATCCAGCTCCAAGATGGATTTTACCTGCTTTGACTCTAAATTGAAAAAAATTCTTTGCTTCTGGAGCAAACACCCAATTTTTGGAGATAAACTACTGGCAGCTTTGTAGATTCTTTTTAAAATTGCTCTTTTCCTTCCCTTTTCACATCCAGAACAATTTTGTTTTGTGGAATCGGCCCTTGATCCAAGCTAAATAAAAACTGATCAAAAAAGGGAAAAATTCCTAGCATTTAGGGTATCAGCTTGGGATTTGAGAGATCAGGATTCATCTTTTTGCTTTGACACAAACATCCAGTATTTTTCCATACAAAATACTTGGCCTTCTTATACTTCTGCAAAATGCAGTTAATATTTCCTTCTCTATAGAAAGCCTTATAGCCACCTAACTGCTTGCATGATTAACATATTAATTTTATTAATACCTGTAGGGTTCTTTGGTTCTGGAGGTCCTACTGGTGCTATAAATGCACCTCTCAGAGGTTTAAGCTCCTTGTTTCTACACTGAGCAGGCAGTTCCCACTGGATCGATTTGGGATGAGTTGGTGATGTCCAAACCCATGGGCTTGAGAATCTCATAATTTTCCTGACTGCAAAACTTTTTTATCATTATGATGACAAAATTCCTTAAAATCGATTTGCAAATCAATACTGAAAATAATACAGAGCTTTATAATTTCACAATTTTTCACTGATTTCTCTGGGGAATTTTACTGCGAAATTAACACTGTGTCAGAGTAAGTGAGTGATTTTTTAAAGGTTATTACAGTGATTTCTTTCTCAAAAAATCAGACTAGTACTCTAGTGAGGTGCAAGGGGAAGCATGAGCTTCTATTGCACAATTACTGGCGATGGCATTGCAGTGTATTTTGGCTCAGTGTGTCAGGGCCTTTCACAAGTCACTTACTTTGAGTGAAGAAATTTCTTTTGTCTCTTGCACCGAAGGCTGGAAAATGGCCAGTTTGGTGATCTTGTCCTCCAGTCCCCACACTTGCTCCTGCAGCTGGATTTTGTTTTGGATGAGGTCTTCAATCTTCAGGTTCATCTCCTGGGAGAGGTTCTTTATCTCCTCGTTGTTGATTTGCAGCCTGGCCGTGGTTTGCCGGAGCTGTTCTTCTTCCTCCTTGATTTCGCTGGTTTGCAGGGAGAGCTCGTAAAAGGACCTGTCAAAAATGTAGAGTTTCTGAAAGATGTCATTCATCTGCCCCTTGGTCTTGTGGACAAAGTCTTTGAGACCGTGCCCCAGCTGGAGGAGTCCATTGGCCAGGATTCGGACATCGTCCAGCATCGCAAATCTCGATTTTGTTTCGGGAGATCCCGCAGAACCCACGGAGAAAAACTCCTTGTCAGCTCCAGCTGGGAGAGCCAGGGGGGCCAGGAATAGTAAAATTGGAATGATCTTCATGTTTCCTGCTCTTGGCTCTCTTTGCTCAGGATGCAGAGGCTTTTCCTAGTGACAGCTCGTGCTCTGTGGCTGTTCTGGGTTGCAGAACTTGATCTATTTATACTCCTCTTCATTTTAGGAGAGGCAGAGCAGCGGGTTGATCATTAAGCTGTGTGTGTTTGAACGAGTGTAACCCCTCCTGAATGTAGGTTGGTACCTGGGAAGATAAAATTGAGAGACAGGCACGTTGCTGATTAAACTGGTTCTGAACTTTTCCATCTGCCAGGCCTTCTGGTGTAAAATGTTATTGATGACACGGTGTTTTTCACACAGCTCTTTTTAATAGGTTAATTGTGGGTCATAATCTCGGTGAGGGCTTAAATCGCTCCTTGTTTGTGTTGTTTGGTTCCCTTTAGTGCCTCAGGAATGTGAAAGGATTTTACCATGTTTAAGAGCAGTGGATTTTCAGGTTGTGAAGCTCCTTGATGAGCTGTGGAAGGGCAAAATATTCCCAGATGATTCACACAACTTGATTTTCATCTCAGGCCGTTTTCTGATGTAACTCATTGTGCTGCAGTGGATTTACTTGTCATCGAGCCCAGATTAAGTGAGAAAGAGGGAATTAGGTCCAGAGATTGCCTGGATGTGATTCTGCTGTGTTAAGGTTTGTGCAGTAATTTACACCATATAAAACTTATTTTTAAGAGCTGCCTTGCAGAGGTGGGCGAGATAAATAATAACTCACTTGCATTCCTCACTTTAGCATTCTTTTTGTTCACACTGCATGCAGAAAGGCTGCAAGTGCTCTGAAATAAATGCCCTCTCACCTTAGCATTCTTTTTGCTGTTTAGGATTCACACTGCATGCAGAAAGGCTGCAAGTGCTCTGAAATAAATGCCCAGTTCTGCAGTGGGTCTCTGCATGGAAACGTGGGGTTTTTTGGGTAGTACTGCAGTGTGAGTCAAAGGTATTTCTCTTTATGGACTCATTCATAGCAATCCAAGAAATCAAAATCAAACATTGCACAATGTGCTTTGGAGAGTTTTCAGGTCTTTGCTAAATTCTTGTATGTTTAGAAATTCTTCCCCTGGACTTTTTGTTGTGTTGTTGATCTACACGTGCACGTATGATATGAAGCATCCATAGAAAAAATGTTTTAAAAACTAAATTTTTACCTCATATGTTGAATTTTTTGTGTGCTCAGGGGTTGGTAATGCACAGGTAACCTTCCCATTCACAAATAAGTACTGTGAAAGTATTTTAGATCTCAGATTAATTGCTGGGGAATATTTTGTGGCAGTATGATTGGGATCAGGGTTACTGGAGTACCTGAATTATGGAAGAAAAGCAGAAGCAGGGAGATGATTAGGCCCAGCTCTGGTTAGAATAGGGATTCCTTCAAAAAAACAATTCTGAATTGTTTTCTGGCATCTGACACAGGGATTTTGGGCTGCAAAACTTGAAGAACTGGTTATAAAATTAAAAAAAACAAAACAAACCCAAAACAAATGTATAGACATTCTTCAGTCCACTTCACCGTACTTAAGTGGCTCTGGTTTTATTTGGTTTCAAATGAACCATTTTCTTTTTTAACTGTTTCGTGCAAGAAATCTTTCTGGTTTATTTTGAATTCTTCCTAACCCCATCACCTCCCAAAAATATTTATTCTTGGCTTAGTCTTAGAAAAATATAGGGAATTACTGAAGAAATAGCAATGACAAAGCAACTGGGGATCTGACATTCTACCAGGTTTCTACAGCTTGTGTCCCATGTGCTGCCTGTGCTGCTCAGGGACGACACTGCCTGTGGGGAAGGTTTGTTTTCCAAAGGGAAAAGGCAGCCAAAGGCCTGATGTCAAATATTAATGAAGCACTAATTAGCTGCCAAGCACGTTTCCATATTAATGCCAAGGCCAGTGAAGTCAGGAAGTGCTAAATTCACTACAGAGCACCCCTAGATGTCACAACAGTCCCAGAGTCCAGAAGAAAAGTGTGACACAGGAAAGCAGAGAGGAGAAAAGCTTCTTGCATGACTAAACCATAAAATTCTAGAGCTTTGGAATCCCTGAGAGGGAATCCTGCCTCTGAGAGTTGTCAGGAAAAGATGTATATAACAAACATGATCCTGAAGATCTTTCATGCACCTGGGTGACCCTGATTATATGGGCTTTAAATGTTTTTTATAGTAGGAATAAAGCAAAGAAAAAGGTCTCTGGGTTTTACTGAAAAGGGAAATTTTCATAATAAGAAAATTCATTCATAGAAATTTTCATTGTAAGAGTTAGGAGCAGCCCTTAATGTTTTAATACCTTTGTGAAGGATTTTGCAAAATGGCTGCAATGATATTACATAAATATTTAGAGGAGTGCCTGGTGCCATTATTTCCATGGCTTGGGAAGCCTTTGCACTTTAGCAATTTATTTTATGGAAGTAGAAGTGCTTTTGAGATCTGTTTGAGATAATGGGATAAGCATTGCATATATTTGGCGTGGCATTTTAATAAAAGCTCCAAACACAAGCCCTTGGGTTTGCAGCTCCTGCCTGAAACTTTGATTGATGGAAATCAAGACATTTATAATGTTTCTGTCACTTTTTCAGCCGTCAGTCCCTTTCCATGGCTGTGTTTAGACAGGAACATCTGTCATGAGGTTTTTAGTGATATGGGGTAGAAGAGAGGCTGTGAGAGCTGGGGATGGAGAAGAGAAGGCTCTGGGGAGAACGTAGAGCTCCTTCCAGTGCCTAAAGGGGCTCCAGGGCAGCTGGAGAGGGACTGGGGACGATGGCCTGGAGTGACAGGACAAGGGTGATGGTTTTAACCTGAGAGTAGGTTTTGATGAGATTAGATAAACTAATTTCTGTGTGGGTGGTGAGGCCCTGACACAGTTTGTCCAGAGCAGCTGTGGCTGCCCCATCCCAGGAAGTGTCCAAGGACAGGTGGGACAGGATTTGGAGCAGTTTGGGACAGTGGAACGTGCCCCTGGACATGGCAGGGGGTGGAATGATGTGATCTTTACATCCCTTCCAACCCGACTTGACCAGTGGTAAGGTCAGGCAGGATTTTTCCATTTGGGATCACATTCTGATTTGCCAGCTGGGCAATTTTTCCCCTTTTTCCATGTAAGTTTTCCACAAAGGGAAGATGCCTGGAATAGGAGACCCTCTGGAGGGAGGCTGCCTGAACAGGGGGAACATCCCTGCCCCCTATTGCAGTGGGATCTGTGCATCTCAGATCCCATAAGAGCTTCTTCCCAGTGAAATACCCTTTAATGAGGGCTTGAAAAGCAGTGGAGAGGGCAACAACCTGTCCCTTTCCTCAGCATTAAATCAATCCTTTGCATAAGCCTGCCTTTAATATAGGGATCCTGTAGCCTGGCTTCACAAATACCTTAAATCTTTCTCTTAAGCACTAATAATACTTAATAAAAGTTTTATGAGCAAGGTACATTTTAGAGTAAATTTTCATATCCATTTTCATTTTAAAAGAACATCAAGCAGCAAATGTATTCATGGCAGAACAAAGTAATTTAGGAGAGTCACAAAAATGGCCCTGGCCCCCTCTGAAATAGTAGGAGAGCGTTGATTTGGCAAAGTGACCAGTGGGGATGGGATTCCAAAACTTAATTCACCATGAAGGACTTGAGAGGGAAGAAATTCCCACTTGCCTGCTAAGCTTATTCCTCTGCCTGCAGGGGTGAAGCAGAGCCTGGTTCATGAGGCTTCCCCAAATGTCCCTGGAGCTGGACTGCTCTTAGGGAATTCCTTCAGATCAGCATTGGCTGTGGCTGTGTAGATGGGGCTGTTTGGGGAGCAGGTGGAATTGCCATCAGAGCCAAGGCCTTGGGTGGGATTCATTGGCCAAAATCTTTAATTAGTGCCAATTCAGGCAGCCAAGGGCAGCCTCCCTTTGCAGCTGCTGCCCCAGGAGTGTGTCCCACCAGTGCAGGTGTTTTGGAAACTCCTGGTGTCTAAAAGGCACCAGGTCCCTTCCCTGAGTTACTGCCCTCCTGAGAATCCAAAAAAGAGTCTTTTTGTTACCAACCTCCTGCTGCCAGCACTCGACAGCAGCTGTTTTATTGCACCTTAAAAGTTGTCCTGCTGTGCTCCTCACTTCACTTCTGAGCCCATCTGGCATCTGTTGTCTCTGTGGGACAAGGAACAGTTGGAAACCACTCACAAATTGTGTTCAGACCCACAGAACAGTTCCCAGAGGGAAGGGAACTTCTTTTTCCTCTTGCCTCACAAGCCAGGGCTGTTAGTTCTGCAGTGTTTGGCCAGAATGCCGTGTGCCATCCTTCATCCCTGGGAGCTGGAGGCAGCACTTGAAGCCCTCCCTGAGCTCCCATGGAACCATCCCTGCTGGATCCCCTGGCTGGAGTTGCAGGAGCCAGGCTGGCCAAGGAGGATGGTGCTGGTGTGGTGGGCAGGGCTGTGTGGGAGGTGGAATGGGGATTTCCAGGCTGTTTTTTTAAAGATGTGTAACAATTCATACACTGAGACTTGTTTGGCAGCAAAAGAACATTAATTTCCTTTGGATAACTGAGTGTTGAGGTGGAAAAGTCTGTGGAGGATGTTGCTTTTTTTTTTTTTTTCTTTTCTTTTTTTGTCTTTGAAAGAACATCAAGGAGCTTTGTGTAGATCTAAATTACTTGCACATCTAAATTACTTGCACAAAGGACAGGTAGGGGTTTGTAGTGGACAGTTTTGCTGATGAAGTGTGAATCCAACTTTCACCTTGTCGGCAGGGGCCCAGCAGGGCTCAGAGGACAGAAGATACTGCAGAATTTTGCATCTCTCATAGCTATTAAAGTAATCAGAGACTTGGAGAAATGGGACTGGAAGGGGTTTCCGGAATGTGTCCCCTGCCCAGCAAAGGCTGAGGTTGTTTTTAAACCCAGCTGGAGAGTGTCTGCCTCACCTGTCCTGAGAAACCACCAGAAAATGGAGGTTTCACACCCTCCAAGGCAATTTGTTCTACTGCTTTAACTCTCCTTACAGCCAGAACATTTTCCCTTGTGCCTCACC